CCCTCCCCCCCACCACAAGTGCACTGCATTTCTTCCCCTAGCCTCTACAGAGACACCCATAAATCTCACCCACCCAAGCTCCTTTTCCTCTCTGCACCTCCTCCCAGCTGCTGCAGGAACCTGCTGCAGTCACTTGGTCCTTCAGTGACGTTCAAGGGGCATGACCCTCCCGGGGGAGGAAAAGGGTCATAGGAAGTGTGTTTCCAATGGGAGGCTAGTGAATAAGGGATGCTGATAAGAACGGAATCCTGATTAACTCAGATTAATTCTTCCCACCACCCAGTCAGCCCTGGAATAAATCCTGCCACAGAGCCAGGCCTGGCAGTGCTGCTCTGAGCATCATCCAGAGATGCTGCCTCCCTCCAATGCAGGATGGGCTGGGATGGCTCACCTTGATGAGAAGAGGAAGAAAGGAGTTGAAGCCATCTAGAATGAAGAGAGAGGGCACGCAGAGAGGACACAGCCCTCTGGGTGCAGCTTGCAAGATGACAGGGTGCTGCTGGAGTCCATGATGAGACATATTGGGGCAGCAGAGGGTGCTTCTTGCTGAATGTGCTCTGGGGCTACGTTTGAGGGTTTCAATTTCCCGCTTTAGTAGCCTTGGGAGTCAGAGATGGATCCTTTTTTTGTGGGGATGGTGGGTTCCTTACCCTGCAGTGGGTGCTGGCTTTTTCCCAGCCTCCTTCCAGGACTGGTGTCCCAGCCTGGCTCATGTCTCCCTGGCTATGCAGGGAAGGGGGTGCTTTTGAAACCCCTGTGCCTCAGAGCTGCCAAAATCTCATTGCCTAGGGCTCCCCTTGCTCCCAGCAGCTTCACTCCCACCAGGGTGTCCCTCTTCCCCAGTACCCAAGGACTCTCATGGGCCTGGGGATGTGGTACCCCACAGGGATGCTCCAGCATCACTGACCACCATGGTCCAGGAAGCCAGAGGTCTCCATCAACAGAAGAGGACCTTTTGGGTGGTTTTTATCATTTTACTTTATTTGTATTAAGATAAACCGCGCCTTTGTCTGTACAATTTCTTCTTAAATATTTGGCAACCTTTAAAAAAATCAAAAAAAACCCAACAAAAAAGTCAAGAACAGTGCAGGCTACAATATCAAAATAGTACAATGCTTGTGAATAAATAACTCCGTAGAGTAGCTTGGGGATAGGGCTGTTCAGATCGCACAGGGCTGGCAAACCCAGCTCTCCTGGGTTCTCGTCCCTTCCCCAGATGGCAGGAACAACAGTAAGACGGGAACCTGGCTGGGCATGGAGGACGCCTCTCTGCTCTTTCTTAGCCCCTAGTTGCCTGGTTCGGCAGTGGTGCTGTTGACATTTTTGTTGGTTTTGCAGCAGAAGTACTGGTTCCAGATTTGCAGGAAGGCTGTCCGGAACTTTTTGATCCTGAAGGCATAGACGATGGGGTTCATGGCTGAGTTGCCATGGGTGAGGAAGATGGCAATGTAGGTGAGGATGTGTGGCGTCTCGCAGGATGGGCAGAACAAGGTGATGCAATTGAGGACGTGCAGAGGGAGCCAGCTCAGTGCGAAGAGGAACAGGACCAGTGCTAAGGACTTGGCAATCTTCAGCTCCTTCCCGTAATACTTCTGGGGATCAGTGGAGCTGGAGGAGACCTTCTTGTTGAGCTGCTTGCGGATGAGGTTGAAGACTTCCAGGTAGATGAGCAGCATCAACAACAGGGGAGGCAGGACCCAGACGAAGAAGTTAAAGTACACCATGTACTCCATGCTGATGACGGTCTCAAACTGGCACTTGATGACAAACTCTGTGTGGCTGGCATTCAGCTCTTGAGTCCTCCGCATCTTGTTCAGGTTGTTCCAGCCAAACATAGGGGTAAGTCCCACCAGAAAGGAGACAATCCAACAACAAGCAATAGCCACTGCTGCGCGCCGGGGTGTCACCACGCTTTTATATCTGTGGAAGAGACAGCGGTCACAGGGAAGAATTAAGCACTAGCAGGATCCTTTGCTCAGGTTTAAAACTGCTCCACTTGGGGTGGCAGTGCCCGTGCTGAGATTGCACAGTGCTCTTTCTTCCCCTCCTTGGAAAGTTTTAACCACTCATTTGGATAAACATGTTAACATCCTGGTTTCTCTACATGTGCCCTGGGGAACCCCCACCCTGTCTTCCACTGCCTCCCCCAGCCCCAGGGACTGGCAGAGACCTCAAGGGTAATCATGGAGCTCTTGGGGTTGATTCAAAGCCAGGAAACCCGTTAGCAGCCTGGACCAGTGTAGGGGGAGTCTGTGTGATCAAAAGCACCCCCAATACCTAGAGGGGCTTCATGTCTCTTTGGTAGCCCATGTTACATCTGAACACCCCACAGAGCAGCAGCTGACCTCCTTCTCCCCCTCCCCACATGCCATCCCCCTGCACTGGCCATGCGGGGACCCTGCCCCAGATAATTCGCCCCCTGCGCTGGAGGAGGAAATTGCCATCAAAAGCCTCCTCTGGGACTTGCTGAGCTGGAGGAAGGATCTGTTGGTGCTAATGGACCCCTGGGGAAGCTTCTGGGCGGAGCCTGTTTCATTTCCTAATATGCTGGGCCGGTGGACAAAGCCCTCTTTCCTAATGCGATGGTGCCAAGGGATGGAGGGAGGAGGAGAGCTGTGCGTCGGCTTGGCTCTACCCCCTCCCTGGTGCCACCAGGGAGCACAATGGGGCTGTGCCTGTCTCTCCAGAGCTTTCCAAGCGGGAAGTGAAGCCTGCTAGATTGATTTTCCCCTTGGCCCTCACAGGAAAGCTTCTCCTGGGAGGCAGAGAAGATTCACAGCCCAAGTGTTATTGCTTTCCACCGGAGGGGATTGAACAAAGAATGATTGCTGGGTTTTTGAGCAATGTCAGTGTTAAGCCAGCCATGGAGACTATGTGGAGGTGCTGGAAAACTGGGATCCCTTTCCCCGCTGCATGCCTGCAGCCCTAAACTGTCGTATAAACACCAAGCATTTCAGAACTTTTTGATATACCAATCCTGCAGCCAAGGACACACATCCCTTCTTCCCCCCTTGAAGGTCCCTTCTCAAGTCCCAGCTAATGGACTAAAAGTCAGGGTGAGAGCACAGAGGGACACAGGATGGAGCAGGGACATTGGTCCCTAGGTGTATGGAGGGTCTGGAGCCACCAGTCCCCGATGATTTTCCCAAATGAACCCCTTCTGGTCTGGGAAACAATTTCCAGCATCCCAGAGGCAGCCTGGTCCCATGGGAAGGATGTGGCATCGTGGGCTGCTGTTTCCTCTGAGAGCCAAGGCTGGAGCCAGAGCGTGATTTATTCCTTGTGGGGAGGAGAAAGGACAGGAGTCCCTGAGAAAGGCATGGGGCAGGGAGAGCCAGGGCATGGGAAGGCTGAGGGGTGGTAGGAATGTCGGTCAGGGAGCACCGGCTCCCTGGACTGAGCAAAGAGAACGGGGGAGCCGAGGGGAGCATTGGTGGCAGAGGGGTAGAGGGGGCCCTCGTGGGGCTGTGCACCCCACGTCGCTGATAACAGAGTAGGAAGGCCTTCGGGAGGGCTTCTGTGCCCTTCCGTTCATAACCCCCTGCTCCCACCCTGCCAGGCTCAGGCAGCCAGGGGGGACTAGAGATACCAGCATCAACCCCCTCCCTAGCTCCTTCTCTTTGCAAGCCCTTCTCATGGCCCTGCAAGCTAAGGCTGTGTCCCCACAAGGTATCCCCCAGCTCCCAGGGGTCTTCTACTAATTTTGCTGATTGTGCCCCCATCCCAGCTGCTCACCCAGTGCTGCAGCACTGCATAACAGCAATCACAGGTGAGACAAGGATGCTGGGCAGCACCTGTGCAACTGCAGTCCCCAAACGCCTTGCCTTGGCTTACAGCCACAGGCTCCCAGGCACAGAGAAGCACTCATTCCCTCTCCCCCTCCCTGGATGCTTGCATTTGAAGCACACACTTGCTACTGCTGCAGTGAGGAGTGCAGGGTATGGAGTGATCGCTGGGACCCTGCTGTTGGCCATGAACCAGAGCCGAATCGGGGGAGACAGCTTTCACACTTGCAGCCAGAGTGGAGGAGATGGGGGAACCGCTGCAGGGGATCTAGCCCTGGCGATCCCAGCCCCCTGCAGCTCCAGAACATTGTATGTTGTTGCAGATGGTTATCAGACCAGCTGTGGAGGTCGCAGAGACCTCAGGTCCCAGGGCGCATGCGAGCCAGCATGGGCCAGAGGGTGTAACACACACATAACAGGCCAACTGCTCTGCAGTCTGCCGGCTGCAC